CCCAAAAACACCCAAAAAACACCCAAAAAACACCCAAAAAACACCCCAAAATTAAAAATAAAACAACTCCCTTCTGGTTCGGACCGGAAAGAGAAGGAAAAAAATAAAAATGAAAAAAAAAAAAAAGAGGAAAATGTATAAAAATCCCCCAAAAAAAAAAAAAAAGCTGAAATCCAAGCGCTGCCTGCATCGTGCATGTGTCGGAGGCGCCCCGCTGCATGCGCTCCCCGCTTTTCTCGTCTGGATGTTGTTTTCAAACAAACAAACGGAATAAAAAAAGGCTACGACTCTGAAAAGGACAAAAAAAATGAGCAAACTGAGAAGAAAAAGCGAAAAAAAAACAACCAAAAAAACGGAAAAAACGCTGAATTTCTGGTTCTCTTTAGAGGATGTTTTGGGGTTTCTACGCCGTTGTGTGTCTCTTTCTCTCTTTTCCGCATGAATTTTCTCGTGAACTGTTTTAAAAAGGAAATAAAACGGACAAAAAAAAATAAAAATAAAAATTATATATATATATATATATAAAAAAAAAAAAGAGTTGAAAAATAAGGGAAAAAAATGGCAAAAAAAAAAAAGGAAGAAAAAATAATTATAATAAAAAAATGCCTCGCACAGGGGAAAAGCGGGGGAGGGGAGGGAGGGGAGACCTCCCCCTCCGACCTGTGCCACCCCCTCCCCACTTCGCCGTGTCCCCCGTGTCGCCGTGGATGCCATGGGTAGTCGTGTGTGACCGTTGTAATTCCCGTGATAAAAAACAAACAACAAAAAAAAAAAGGGTTGCTTTTTATTATTTTCCTTTTTTTTTTTTTCCCTTGATATTTTTTTTTTTTCTATCAGAGTGTCTGGCTTTAATAAAAATTAATTTTTTTTTTTACTTTTTATTTTTTTTTGACTCTTTTTTCTCTCTTTTCTGGCGCTGTTTTTCCCTCACTTTCCACCCCCAAAATTGAGAATTTCGATGGGGATGAGACATCCCCAATTCTGTTATTTCCTCCCCAAGATCTCAGAGGAAAAATGCAATTTATCCCCACCCTGGATAAATCCAGGAATAAAAATTCCCAACAGCGGGAATTTGGGGTCTATTCCCGCCTCCCCCCCGCCAAAAAATGGGAATTAACACCAGCAAAACCTCGAATAATCAGTTTATTTCCAATATATAGACCAGGACCGGAGGTGGGAGGGCAAAGCAGGGGGGATTTTTGGGGTTGGTTTGCGGTTTTTATTTCTTTTTTTTGCAGTTTTGCAGATCCCGACGGGGCCGAGGCGCCGGGAATGGGGGTGGGGAGGGGTTTTGGTTTTTTTTGGGGAGGGGGCGACATGCAGGAGGGTTTTAAAAAGTCACCACTGAGCACGTCCCCTGCTCGGGGCTGGCTTTTTCCACTGAGCAAAACTTCTTAAAAAAATCCTTTATAAATCCTTTGGGATATGTTACACGGGCACAGAGACGATATTTACAGGGAGGGGGAAAAATAAAACCCAACAAAAAAGAAAAAAAAAAAAGGGAAAAAAAACCCCAAAAATTGGAAAAGAAAAACAAATTTTACAGCAAATATTTGCATAACGTAATGAGAACGACACGGAGAGACGGTGACGGGATGTGACACCAAGGCCACCGAGCTGGTGGCACTCGGTGTCCCCGCGTGGCCACGCCAGGGGTCCCCGCGCCCCCTTCCTAAAGTGCTTCTGGCCTGGGGGGCAGGAAGGAGACAGCGGTGGGAGGGGACAGCGACACGGTGGCAGTGTCCCCTCCCCGTGTCACAGGGTGTCCCCACTCAGTGCCAGCCCCTCCCCGGCTCCTGGGGACACCCCAGACTCAGGGTGACAGCGCTGAGGTCCCCAAGGGACCCCGGCACACGGGGGAGGGTCCCTGAGGTGGGGTCCTCAAGGTGCTCAGGGCATGGAGCGCCCCCAAGGTCCCCCAGGGCAGGGGTCTGTGACCCTGATGTCCCCAAGGCAGGGGTCTCTGACCCTGATGTCCCCAAGGTCCCCAGGGCAGGGGTCTCTGACCCTGATGTCCCCAAGGTCCCCAGCACAGGAGTCTCTGACCCTGATGTCCCCAAGATCCCCAGCACAGGGGTCTCTGACCCCGAGGTCCCCAAGGTCCCCAACCCGGGGCAGGTCCCGGCCGGAGCAGCCGCAGCTCCCAGGGAAGTGCCCGCACTTCGCTCCGCCGCGGCTGGGGACAGCAGGGCCACCACTGGGGACAGTCCCCACCAGCCCCTCCCGGCACTGCCTGGGGGCTGCGGGACCCCGCTGGTCCCCAAAGCGTGGAGGGGACGAGGTGGCTTTGTCCCCCCTCCCCAGGCGAGGGGCCACCGAGACCTGTTAAATAATCACAGCAGCTTGTCCGGAGCACAATTAAATACGGGGACAAGGGACAATCCTTAAATTAAACACTGCCCGGGGGGGTCAGAGACACTGCGGGAAGCGAAGGGGCGCCGGGGGGCCGGGGCTGCCCGGGGGGCTCTCGGTGGCCGTGCCCGGGCCGCCAATGCCAGGCGGAGCCGGGGCGGCAACCGCGGGCCGGGCTTTGGTGGACTCCAAGCTGCTGAGCCCCGAGTCCTTGTCGCGACAGGGTCCCGGTGTCCCCTCGAGCCCCCGCGGTTCCTTCCACTCGTTGAAGTTGAGGTCCTTGAGGCCACCGGGCACCACCACCGTGTGCCGGCGCCAGCTGCTCTTCTTGCGGCGGGTCTCGGGGGAGTGCGCCCGGCGCAGGCGGACCCCCATGTCATCGGCGGAGCCCCGCAGGTGCTGCCGGAGCTGCTCCCGCAGCCACGGTCGCCCGGGGGCCACCCAGCTCTGCTCGTCCCCGCTGGCCACCCCCGCGGTGTCCCCGGCCGGCCGCGGCCTGCCCAGCTTCCTGCGGGCCAGCGTGTCGCACTGGATCAGGCGGTGCGAGTTGAAGGAGGGGCGGCCAAGGGGTGACTTGTCCTCGTCGCCTGTCCCCACCCCGGCGTGTCCCGGCCGCGGCCGGCCGCCCTCGCGGCTCTCCGTGTCCGTCTCCATGTGGCTGAGCTCGCTGCGCTCGTCGTCCGCCTCCTCCCCGCGGCTCCCGGCCACCGAGTGCACCTCGGAGCACAGGCTGCGGTCCATGGTGGACAGCGTGGAGTAGCCGGACACGATGGAGCGGGCGTCCGGGGCCGGCTCGGATCCGGCTCCCGCGGGATCGGCGGAGCATTCCCTCTCCATCCCGGCCGGGCCGGGAGCCGCCGGCTCGGTGCCGGTGCCGCGGGGGGCTTTGCCGGGTGTCACCGCGGGGCCCTCCCGCTCCTGCTGCCGGCCCGGGCCGTCCCTGCGCTCCGCGTCGTCGTCGGTGCTGCTCCCAACGCCTTCGGCCTCTCTCCTCTTCTTCCTCTTGCGGGCGGCGGCCGAGACGAAGGGGATGGCGAGGAGCTCCCGGTGCGGCGGCGCTTTGCGCGACGGCCACGTGCCCTGGGGACAGCGGGGACAGCGGGGTCAGCGGTGGCGGCCACACGGACGGGCTGAGTGTCCCCGTCCACCCGCGCCCCCCCCGCCAGCCCCGCACCGGGACCGCCCCCTCTCACCTTCGGTTTGGCGGAGCCGCTGCGGGTCGAGCCTGGAAAGCAGAGGGGAGAGGGGGGTTAGGGGGGTCCTGGGGGTGGGAAAGTGCTGGGGAGGGGTCTGGGGGTCGAGTCGGGGGTGCTGCTCCGTTCCTCCCAAACCACGACGGGGACGTGGCCGGGCTGTCACACCCGGCTCGCGCCGGGAGGGGCTCCGGTGGTCCCGGGGTGGGTGGGGGGTCCCTGGCATTGCTCGCCTCACCCAGGGTGAGGAGTGGGGACAAGGGGGTCACACACAGCCAGGACACACAGCCAGGACCCCCGCGGTGGGACCCCAACCCTCCCGCGGCAGCGGGGGGACACGGAGGGGACGGGGACAGCGCGACACCGGGACGGAGCGTGGGGAGGGGGCTCCGTGCCACACCCAGCCTCGGAGCGGGGTCTGGGGATGCCCGAGGGGGCTGGGACAGGCCGGGGGGTTACGGGGTAAAGAGGGGACACAGAGAGGGGACACAGAGAGGGGACAAGCAGCCCTGGCCCTGCTGCCACCGTGTGAAGGACAAGGACAGGACACAGACCCCTCTCCCGCCCCGCATGCCCGGGACGGGGTTAGCAGCTGCTGACAACGAGAGAGGGGGAGGCAGAAAGGGGGTGCTGACCCTCCCCGGGGCTTTGGGAACCTCGCACCCCAGAACTGGAGGGTTCTGGGACACCCCACACCCCTCCCCGCAGCGAGATGCCACCACAGGCACTGACCAAGCAAGAGTTGGAGAAGCGGAGCGGAAAGGATTCGGGGCTCCCCTGCCGGTGTTGGGGGACCCTGGGGACAGCGCCAGGCAGGACAGGGTCCCCTCCCCTCCCGCTGTGCCCCCCCTGCTCCCGCTCTCTCGTGGTCCCCCCGAGGGTTAGTGCGTGAGCAATGCACCCGGGATCAGACTGTACCCGCTCTAGCTCTCGAGGAGGTCCGCTGGAGGAGGAAGAGGAGGAGGAGGAGGAAGAGGACAGCACAGAGAAGTTCAAGGAAAGAACGTAAGAAATCAGTCCAACGTCAAAGGCTCCCGCTCTCCGGGTTGGGCAGCGCGGGCGGGGGTCCCGCGGGGTGGGCGCTGCCGGGGAGCCCTGAGGGACAAGGAGTGGCCACCGGAGAGAGAGGAGGGTGACGGGACAGGGGGACCATCGGGCGTCTCCAGGGGTTATTCCCGTTTTTCGGAGAGGAGGGAGCCGGGATATCCCACTCCAGCACACACAGGTTGGCCGTGGCCGTGGCGAGCTGGTCTGGCTGCCCAGAGATGTGGGCAGGGGGGGGACAGAGGGTCGCGGGGAGCACTCCGGGGTGCCAGGAGAGGAGGGGACGATGCCACGGGCGCTGCCCCTCACCTGCGGCATCGCCGGGCGCCGCCGTCCTGCCGATGTTGGGCAGCAGGTACTCGATGTTGGGCACGGACTGAGCCTCCTTCTCATCCACGGGGGTCTGGGGGGGGAAAAGGGGATCAGGGGGGTGCCATGAACCCCCCCAGAACCCAACCGGGGGTCTGCACCACCCCTGACCCACAGCGAGACCCCCCCGAGGGCGGGCAGGACTCACCTTCTCGCCCTTGTCCTCCTTGTCGCTGAAGAACCAGTCTGACTGTGGGGGGGGATGGGAGAGGGGTCAGCAGCTCCACCCCCAAATTTCGGGGTGCAGATCCCGCCCTCCCCACTCAGAGCCCACCCAGGGGTGCCACTCACGTGCTGGATGAGGGTCTCCACGATCTTGTAGCGGTCGGGCATGTGCGTCACCATGTCGGTCATGTTGTCCTCGGACGTCCGCACCAGCGTGGGGCCGAACACCAGCGCCAGGTTCCGGGGCTCCATCTGTGCCCAGAGCCAGGTCAGAGCTGCAGCCCAACCCCGGGGGGGGGGGGCTTCGGGTGGGCCAGGAGGTTCCCAGGGTGGGGGCGGTCAGTACCTTGTTCTTCTCCGAGTGGTCAGCGATGGTCTTCAGGTGACCCACCAGGAATTTGAGGGTCTCGTAGTAGTGGCCTGGCAGGTCCCGGATCTGTGGGGTGGCACTGGTCACCCCTCTGCTCGCTGTCCCCACCCAAGGGGGGGCTCCGGGGCGGTGTCCCCACCCCAGCCCCTGTCCCGTGTCCCTACCAGCTTCCGCAGCGTCCTCATCCTCTCGCTGGCGTCTTCGATGCGGTTGGCTTCGATAAAGTCGTTGTATTTATCTGAAAGGGGGACCTGAGGGTGTCACAGCCGGGTGGACGGGACAGGCCACCACCCCACCCCCCCCAGAGCCAGGGACCCCCAGGTGAACCCGCTGGAGATTTTGGGGAAGGGTCTCAGTGCTCCTCCCAGGGCAGGGAGGGACAAGGACAAGTGGTCTTGGTGACAGGGGGGTCTGCGCTGTCCCCCGCCATGGGTGGCTGTGTCACCGGGTTTGGGGACATGTCCCCAACGCGGGGGGGTGGGGTCGGGGGCTCTGGTGGCCCCGGGGGCCGGGGACTCACCGTCGGTGAAGAGAGGCTCGGGCAGCTTTCGGAAAAAGGATTTCAAGAGGCTGCTGATGACGTTCAGGTCCTGCCACCGCTGCAGGGGACAGAAGAGGCTGCTCAGGGGGACAACCAGGGACACCCAGGGGACAGCGGGGTGAAGTCCCCAAGGCAGCGACACAGGCAGGGAGAAGTCCTGAGGCAGCGCGGAGGAGTGGCCGGATGCAGGGGGACAAAAGTGTCCCCAGGATGTCACCCACAGCCACCGCCAGGCGGCCCTGGCACTGCAGGGGAGGGATGGAAACGGGGCTGGTGGGGACAGGGACAGCGGGGACAGGGATAATGGGACAGGGACAACGGGACAGGGATAACGGGACAGGGATAACGGGGACAGGGATGATGGGACAGGGATAATGGGACAGGGATAATGGGGACAGGGACAACGGGGACAGGGATAACGGGGACAGGGATGATGGGACAGGGATAACGGGACAGGGATATCGGGGACAGGGACAACGGGGACAGGGATGATGGGGACAGGGATAACAGGATCAGGGATAAAAAGGACAGGGATAACAGGGACAGAGATAACGGGACAGGGATAACAGGGACAGGGATGATGGATACAGGGATGATGATGAGGACAGGAATGACAATGATGGGACGGATGATGATGGGGACAGGGATAACGGGGACAGGGACTATGGGACAAGGATGATGGGGACAGGGATGATGATGGGATCAGGGATGATAACAAGGACAGGGATGATGGATACAGGGATGATGATGAGGACAGGAATGACAATGATGGGGACAGGGATGATGATGGGGACAGGGATGATAACAAGGACAGGGATGATGACACAGAGCAGGAAGCATTCCAGAGGCATGACAGGGATGGGGACCAGCACGGGGCCAACCACGGGGACAGTCACCTGCCCTGCCCTCACCTCGTCCTGCAGGTTGATCTCAGTGGCTCCCTTGTTGAGCTGCTCCTGCAGGCTGGACACCACCGCGTTGTTGCCGGGCACGCGGTAGATGCCCATGTACTCCAGCCCGCGGTCCTCCACCACCTTGCAGCACGCTTCCACAATCAGGGGCACGTTCTGCAGGGACAGGGACGGGCTCAGGGGGTGCCAGGGCTGTGCGGAGTTCCCGAGGGCTGGCGGTGGTGGCACGGCCCTACCTTGTTGTCCGGGGCAGGCTGACAATCCTCCAGCCTCACGCCGAAGGCGCGCGGGGCGGATTTCTTGTTCTTCTTCATGATGTTGATGCCCCACGGGGCTTTTTGGGAGCTGCTTTCATCTGGAGTGGGTGGGGAGGAGAAAAAAACCCACAGGATCACTTGGGATAAATGGGAAGAGCAGCCCTACAGGGATGAGTGCCACAGCAGCTCTGGGGGGACACAAAGCACCCCCGGTTTGCCGTCCTGGGGTGTCCCCCGTACCTTTTGTGACGGCTGCCTCCTGCCTGGGGGACCGGGGCGCGCTGGTTCCCGTCTGCTTCAGGAACTCGGCTCGGATCCCCAGCCCACGAGGGCCCTTGGGGGACGAGTCGGGCTTGGTGCCCGCAGGGCTGCAGGGAGAGCGGGGAGGGCTCAGGTGGGGCAGGGCCAGGGGCACCAGCCCGGCACAAAACCTCCCGGTAAACATTGCCGGCGTCACTCCCAGCCTTTCCCGGCATCCTACAGAGACCCCCGGGCTGCTCCGAGCCTCTTTAAAAGTGGGTTTGGCCGACCCCAGGCCAAGCCGGGTGCGGGCGGCTCTTCTGTCACTGCCCCTTCCAGGGAGCCGCCGGCTTTGCTCCGTCACCGTCACACCAGGGTGACCAATGCCCCGGGGGTCTCGGTGCCCACCACCCCGGTCCGTACCTCACTTTCCGGTAGTCGTTTAACTTCTTGCTGATAAGGGCTTGGCTGGCAAAACCGGGGTCCTGGGGAGGCAGAGAGAAGAGGGGAAGGGAGAGCTTGAGCAAGCGCGTCCGCCCGACAACCCCGGGCAAGTCCACGCTCTGCCGGGCAAGGGCAGCACCAGGTCCCCGCTGCCCCGGCCCCGCGGCTGTCCGTCGCTCCAGGCCGCGGAGCGGGGTCCGAGCCGGACACGGGTGTGTCCTGCCACGGCACGGACACCTCCATCGACCCGCGCCGCCTCCACGGAGACACGGTGCGCCCCAACAGCACCGCAGAGCCGGGGTGTGCACAGACAGCTCCGCCTTGGAGCTGTCCAACCTCCAGCCTTGGAGAAACGTCTGGTTCCCACCATGGCAGCACTTCTGACCCGGCAGCACCAGGTGGTTCTGACCCGGCAGCACCATCCGCACCATCAGCACCAACCACAGCAGCACAGTTCAGTTCTGACCCAGCAGCACCAGCTGGTTCTGACCCAACAGCACCGTCCGGTTCCAACCACAGCAGCACAGTTCAGTTCTGACCCTCCAGCACCATCTGATTCCAAACTGGCAGCACCTTCCGGTTCTGATCCAGTAGCACCGTCCCTGCCGAGCCCGCTGCGCCTCCCGGAGCAGGGCTGTGCCACAGACAACCAGAGACAGCCCCGAGCTCAACGCACCCTCCGGGGCCGGAGCCTGCCACAAGCCTGGTGTGACCACCATCACCACCGAACCGAGCCACCACGGCCGGCCCGGCACCACCACCGGCACCGGCACGGCCACGCCACGGATCCACTGCTGGAGCCCAGAGCAGCGCTGGGGACGGCTGTGCCCATCTCACACCTCAGTGACTTGGCACAGCCCACGGCTGCCCAGAGAGGGCTCGGCAGCGCCACAATCCGTGCCCGGATCTCTCTCCACAAACTGAGCCACGCCAAACCATGGCAGAGCCACTCCAAACCATGGCAGAGCCACATCAAACCATGGCAGAGCCACTCCAAACCATGGCAGAGCCACTCCAAACCATGGCAGAGCCACATCAAACCATGGCAGAGCCACGCCAAACCATGGCAGAGCCATGCCAAACTATGACAGAGCCACGCCAAACCATGGCAGAGCCATGCCAAACCATGGCAGAGCCACTCCAAACCATGGCAGAGCCACACCAAACCATGGCAGAGCCACATCAAACCATGGCAGAGCCACGCCAAACTATGACAGAGCCACGCCAAACCATGGCAGAGCCACGCCAAACCTTGGCAGGGACAAGTCACACCACGGCACATCCATGTCAAACTTCGGCACAGCCGCGTCAAACCTCAGCAGGGACATGCCAAACCTTGGCAGGAGCATGCCAAACCTCGGCAGAGACACTCCCAACCTCACCAGGGACATGCCAAACCTCGGCAGAGACACCTGACCGGGGACATGCCAAACCACAGCGCAAACCACATCACACCGTGGCGGGGACACCCCACCACGGCACAGCCACGCCACGGCACAGCCACGTGGCACCTCACCAAAGCCAGGACACACCACGGCAGAGCCACGCAGGCTCCTCCACCACCGCACCACCAAACGCCGACTCGGCCGATCGGCACCGGCTCCGCCTGGAGAGCCGCGGCCCCTCCGCCGAGCATCCCGCGCACCCTGCCCCGGCCGGGGCGGCGGGGCCACGCTCTTCTTGGACACCACGAGCCCCCACGCACCCCTGGGAGCGCGGCACGGGCCTGGCCGTGGCCTGGGGAAGCAGCACAAGGCAAAGAGCCGGAGAGAGCCGAGGCGGTTAGTGCCGGGAGAGCCAGAGGCAGCCGGGAGCCCCATGTGGCTCTCACCTCGCCCTCAGCCTTGCTGTTCTCCCTGATGACTTTGATCCAGGCCAGCATGTCTTCCCGATCCTCTGCCTGAAAGAGATATTCACAGAAGTCAGCGGTCGTCAGGCGGAAGACGTGCTTCCTCTTGGTCTCGCTGTAGGAGATGTCCACCAGGCACGCTTGGATGCTGATCGGCGGCTCCTCCTCACCTGGGGCCGGGGCGCAGGTCACCGCCTCCCGCCTGTCCTTGCACAGGTACAGCGAGTGGGTGCGCAGCACGGCGAACACGCGCTTCCACTGCCGGATGCCTCCACCGACCTTCTGCGGGGGACAAGGGATGGAGCGGCGGCCTCGGGGAGCGGCCCCGCCGCGCTCCGGGCTGGGGGCAAAGCCCGCCTACCTTCCCCTTTTTGGTGAGGATCTGCTTGCAGTGGAGCCAGCCCTCCTTCCTCACGGCGCTGAACGGCACGTCCGAGAGGTCGGAGGTTGAGTGTCTTTTGGAACGGGCGTCTTCGGACGTGCCCAGGCTGTCCAGAGACTGCGAGGGGCCGGAGGGAGGTGTTGGGGGGAGGCCATCGGCACCCCCTGCTGCCCCCCCAGCTCTTTCGGGGCGGCCCCCAGGGCGGCACTCACCCCGTCGGTGAAGAAGCTCCTCAGCATGCGGAGGCTGGGGACCCGGCTGGGCATCCTCCTGCGGGGAGAGCAGCCCCCGTCAGCGGGAGGGGGTGGGAGCTGTGGGGCTGGGGCGGGAGCGGGGCGGGGGTCCAGCCCTACCTTAGGATCTTCCCCTCGTCCCGAAATGCGTTCAGACCGTCGTCGCAGGACTTGGAGCGCTCGGTGGTGATGGCCAGCAGGTAGGAGGAGCGGCGGCCGGCCTTGATGCTGCCTGCGGTGGGGAGGGGGCAAAGCCCACCCTGCTCAGCCCGGGGGTGCGGGGCAGGGCTCTGGGCCAGGGGGCTGCTCCCATCCCAGACTCCCGGGGCTGTTCCCGCTGCCCAGCACTTACTGCAGTCCTGGGAGTAGTGCCGGGACAGGGCGAAGGCGAAGCTGGGCGACGCGGGGCTGGTGGCCACGGCGGGTGCGGAGTTCATGGCGCTGGACACCACCGAGGAGGCCGGGACGTGCTTGGCCTTCAGGTCGATGCTGGGGCTGGTGGGTTCGTCTGTCAAGGGGGGTGGGCGGTGTTGGAGGGGGGGTTGGGGGCAGGGGAAATCCCTGCTGGGACCCCCCCACTGTTTCTGAGGATGGTTTGGTGTCAGGGTTGGGCTGGGGACACGCTCCCCGCACCAGGAGTGAGACCCTCAACCACCCTGAGACCCCCCAGCCCCACTCCATCCCCTCCCTTCCCATCCCACCCAGTTCCCTGCCCGGGAACGGGGACAGGGCAGAGCTGTGGCTTCCCGAACCCAGCCACGTCCTGGGCAGGGAGATCCCAGGTGAGCCAGGGACAGGGACAGCCCTGTCCCCACCCCGGAGCAGGTCCAGAGCGAGCAGGGCTCCAGTTCACACCAGTGAGGCGCACCAGTAAGGAGCAGGGGGTGCAGGACAAGAGAGAGGGGTGAGGGTGCTCAAACCCAAACCCCGGTACCCCATCACCAACCCCGGGCCTGCCTGGGGACAGCAGATCCAGAGGGGTGTGGGATTCTGTGGAGTTCGGGACTCTGTGGGGTTCGGGACCCTGTGGAGTTCGGACTCTCTGGGGTGCCGGGCACTGCAGGCGCTGCTGGTGCAGCCCCTTCCATCTCCTCGCTGGCCACAGATGGACGTCCTGGACCTCTGAGCCCCAAACGCGCCCTCCCTGGCACAGGACCTCCCAGATCCCTTCCCGGAGGTGACCAGCGAGCCCTGGACTCACCGATGAAGGGGATGGACGCCAGCGAGTCCTCGGGGGGCGCCAAGGGAGCCACTCTCCGGCCAGGGCGCTCGCCCCCCGGCCTGTCCCCTCTGCCCGCGGCCCCGGCCGGATCACAAATGTCCGTCTCCTTCACCCCCTCGGGGAACACGAAGTTCATCTGCCGCAGAGGCGCGGGCATCTTGCGGCCCGTGGGCGGCTTCTGCCGCAGCACCACCTCCTCCCTGCGCTCCTCCGGCGGCTCGGACGCTCGGCCGCCCTCCGGCCGCGGCTCCCGGGCCGCGCTGGGCACTGCCGGGGCGGCGGTGGGGGACGCGCCGGGGCTGAGCGCGGGGTCCCTGAGCGGAGCCGCCGCTCGCTGCGCGATGCTGAAGGTGGGCAGCCCCCCGAAGGCCGGGTCGCGGCAGGACAGGGCGTGCAGCAGCCCGGTGCGGCGCTGGAAGGACGGGCTGTAGCTGCGGTAGCCGATGTAGCCCGAGTCATCCGCGCTCTGCAGGTTGGGCTGCGACGGGTGCTTCTGCACCGGCTCCCGCGATGAGGAGGAGGAGGAGGAGGAGGAAGCGGCGAAGGAGCCGGGCGGGACGGGCTGCCCGGAGGCGGCGGCGGCGGCAGCGGCCCGGCAGAGCCTCTCGGGCGGCCAGGCTGAGCGCTCGAGGTGCTGCGAGAGCAGCGCGCTGGGCTCCAGCGCCTCCATGGAGCGCCCGTACCTGCCCAGGTAATGGTCGGAGCGGGCTCGGGGAGCCCAGCCCTCGCGGCTGGGCTGCAGCAGGGTGTCGTGCGAGGCGCTGTGGGGCCAGCCCCGAGGGGCCGCGGGCCCGGAGCCCCCGAGGCGGTCGTGGGACACGCTGCGGTAGCGGGGCATGGCGTGTCGCCGCTCCTCCGAGGCGCTGCGCCGCGGCTCCTGGCTGCAGAACCAGCGCGACAGCGCCTGCTGGCACTCCTGGCGACCGGGCACACGCTGGCTCCCCGACACGTCCCGGGGGAGCCGCCCGGCTCCCGAGAGGCCCCCGACGCCCTCCTTGAAGCCGCAGTGAGTCCGGTGCTCCGGGAGGTGCTTGGGGACGCCGTAGCAGGAGGCGGTGGCGGGGGACATCCCGTAGCGCTCGGGCGCGGAGGATGCGACGTTGGCGGGGCAGGAGGGGCGGGAGAAGGAGCCGGGGTGCCCGTGGGGTGCGGCGGGGCGCGGCGGGGGACCCCCGGGCTGCGGCTCCTCGGGGCGGTGCGCGGGGCTGCCGCCGGTGTCGCTGCGGGCGCCGAGCGGGGGCGAGGGGCCGCTGGTGGCCGGGCGGGGGGCGCGGGGGTCCGGCGGCTGTCCCGGGGCGGGTTCGGCACCCCGGGCCTGGAAGGGGTAGGTTTTCCGCGGGTAGCAGATGGGAGGGGGCTCGGGGATGCTCTGAGCCCCCCCGGAGTACGGCTCGTTGCCCTTCAGGTAGGCGTCCTGGGAATAGGCCTGGGGAGGGGCAGCACAGGGACGGGGGGACAGGGTCACAATCCTCCACATTCCCACCGCAGGGAATTCCTTGACCCCTGAACAAACCTCCCGTGGGGTCAGCTGGGCTGGGCTGGGCTGGGCTGGGCTGGGCTGGGCTGGGCTGGGTTGGGCTGGGCTGGGCTGGGCTGGATGCAGCCCCCCACCCCTCCACACCTATCCCGCTTTCCCACGGGGTCCCCCCCCGGTTCCGAGCAGCCGCAGCCCTTCCGCTGTCCCCTTCCCTCCTTCCTAAAATATTCCAGCACGGCCATCCCGGCTGGCCCGTCTCAGTTTTCACGGCGCCTCCGACTCCACGCCGGGGCATTCCCAGAGCCCGGGGCAGGCGCAGGTGGGGACCCCCTTATAAAACCCCCCCAGCCCCACGGGAAGGGGTCCCCCAGGCTGGGGACAATCAGTAGGGGGACCCCAAAAGTCACCGAATATCCAGGCTGGGAGAGGAGGGGCATCACCCCACGCACACCCCTCGGCCCCTCAGGCCACCCTGCCTGGGCTGCTGTCACCCCCAGATCCCGGCACACCCACTCGGGGGGTTCCAAGGATGAGCCAGACCCTGAAACCTGGAGCAGCTCATCCTCCAGCTGTGCCCCCCAAAATCACAGGGGCCACATCCCTCCTGTTCCTGCACCGGTGCCCCCAGTTCTGCACCCATTGCTCCTCCAGGGATGGCGGTGGAGCTGTGTCCCCAAGTGTCCCCAAGTGTCCCCAAGGCACCTGCCCAGCAAACTCACCAGCTGGAGGATGTCCTCGTCCTTGGGCATGATGGAGAGCTCCAGCACATCGTCACTGCGGGACAGGGGACAGAAGGGTCAGGCTGGGCGGGGTCAGTCCCCAGCTGTCCCCAAGCTCACACCTGGCTGCACCCCCCACCACACGAAGGTCCCCACGTGACGGTGGCAGCACGTGCTGCCTGTCCCCAGTCACCCGAGCGCCTCGGGGGCCCTGTCAGTGACACCCAGAGGGACAGAGCCTGCTGTGCCGTGTCCCCATCCTGTCACCTGCCATCCCGGGCAGGGCACTCACCTGTTCTGGATCAGGGCGATCACCTGCGAGTAGGTTTTCCCGATGATGCTCTCCCCGTTCACCTTGACCAGCCGGTCACCTGCGGAGCCCGGGGAGGGGACAGCGTCACCACCAGGGAGTGGTGGCACCTGGATGTCCCCACTGTCACTCAGGGCAGGGTTTGAGCAGATCCCTGCCAGACCCCGCGTGGCAAAGGGACCAACGGGACACCCCAAACCCAGGAGAATCCCCGGGGACCCCAGGGCTGCTCTGAGCACCCCAGAGCCGGAGGGAGCAGAGCGCTTTCAGAACCAGAGAGAAGGGGCAGAAAAGAGCAGGAATGCCAGGGAAAAAAAAGAGCAGAACAAGCACGAAATTCCCTGGCGGAGGAGGCGGAGCGTTCCCGGGATCCCTCCAGCCGCCTGGAGCCACCCCCGGCTCCGCGTCCCCGCTCACCCGTGCGCAGCCCCGCCTGGTGCGCCGGCCCGTCCTCCCGCACGTTCTTCACGAAGATCGTGTCCATGGGCTCCAGGCGGCTCCGGGAGGGACCTGCTCGGCGGGGACAGCGTGTCAGGGAGCTGCGGCCACAGCCAGCACCCTCCCGTGGCGGCCAAGTCACCTCCTCTCCTCGCCCAGGTCCCCGCCACCCCCAGCCGGGTGCTGCCAGGAGGGCGCGGTGCCCACCGGGGATCCCAAATCCCACCCGGAGCGAGGTCGGGGACGCCCTCAGCCCCTCCCGGTGCCCGGTGCCCGGTCTGGCACCGCCGCCCGCAGCGGCTGCCCGGGGAGCGCGGCCCCGGCGCCGCGTCAGCGCGGCAGCGCCGATCCGTTCTGACACCTTCACATTCGCTCACGTCACCCTGAGCCTCCGGGAGGGGACAGCGGGGCCGCGTCCCTGTCCCCAAACACCCCTCGCTAGCCGGGGGCCGGTGCTGGCCACGCCGCAGCCCCTCCGGGTGTGACATCCCGCAAAGCTCCCCGGGGGGGGGGGTTTGGGGACACCGAGGCCACCGCCGGTGCCAAGGGCCACCAAGCTGCCACCAAAACACCGAGTGGCTTCAGCGCCAGCTGATGTTCAGGGCTGTGGTGACAACAGCAACCTGTGACAGCCGCGTCACCCCCCCTCCCCTGTGCCACTGTCCCCAGGGTCCCCATGCCGGTGCTCACCTGCTCGGTTCCCATTCTCCTCCTCCTGCCAAAAAAGAAAAAGAGAAAAGCGTTGATTTGGCGGGGCCGTGACGAGGGGATTGGGGCAGTGGCAGCCCCCCGAAGCCCCCCGCGGGACCGGCGCGTCCCTCTGCCCTCCTAAAGGCTAAAATTACCTCGTGACACCGGATCAGGGACCGGCCGCAGCCCCCCGCACCCAGCTGCCGCTTTGGGGCCGGTTTTGGGGCAGCGGAGCGGGAAGGAGCCCTGCCAGCCCCGGGCTGGCATCTCACCCTTCACCCAGCCCTGCCGGGCAGAGCCCAGCCCCCATCGTGGGGCTCCAGGGCAGGGATCCATCCCATCTTGGATGAATCCTCATCCCTGCCCATCCCTGCCCGTCCCGGTGCACGGCTGCTGGGCACTGGTGTGTCCCGTGGCATGGGAACTGTGCCAGATCCCTGTTTTCTACCCCAAATCCCCCCGTGGGGAGCCCCCAGCAGGGCAGCGCTGCCCGGGCGGGGGTGCCGGGTTGGGGTGGGGTGCAGGGTGGGCCTCACATCCCCCCCGAGGAGGGATCCGGGCGCCTGGAAGGGGAATTCTCACTCCAGCAGAACCAGATTTTTCCGTGCCCGGCTGGGAACTGCAGGTCTGGCCACAGCCTGCAGCCAGGGGGGACACAGCCCTGGTGTCCCCGAGGTGCCAGCTCCCTCCAGGGGGTGAGAAGGAATCAGTCTCCTTCCCAGTGCGATAGACAGACATTCCCAGCTCCAAGGATCAGCCATTCCCAGTGCGATAGACAGACATTCCCAGTGCCATGGATCATTCCCAGTTCCATGGATCAGCCATTCCCAGCTCCAAGGATCATTCCCAGCTCCATGGATCAGACATTCCCAGCTCCAAGGATCATTCCCAGCTCCATGGATCAGACATTCCCAGCTCCAAGGATCATTCCCGGCTCCATGGATCAGCCATTCCCAGCTCCATAGATCAGACATTCCCAGCGGCACCGCTCCAGGTGCCCAGCGCAGGGCGGGAAGGAAAATCCACATTCCACGGCCTCAGCGGGGCCACGGCGAGACCGTGGGGCCACCGAGAGCCCCTGCGGGCACGGACTCATCCCGTCCCTGCCCGTCCTCACCCTGCGGCACCGCAGAGCCCTTCCCGGCCCCGGGGACATCCCGGCGGCCCCGCTGCCAGGGCGATGAGGGCGGCCAGCGTGGCGAGCGAGGCTCCCGGTCCCGGTCCCCTCCCTGCTGAGTCAAACCCACCGAAACTCAGCCCCCGGAGCTGGCGGGGTGCCGGCCCCCGCGGCTGCTGCTGCTGAGCCAGCCCCACCGCGCCCTGCCCCGCCGGCTCCGGCTCGCACGGCGGCCCGCAGCTATTCCCAGCCTCTTTCCAAGAGCATCTCCAGCTCCCGGCGCTAATCCGCCTCCTTCCCACGCGGCCCCGGGTGCTCCCGCCCGGGCAGGGCTCAGCCCGGGTGCCCAGCGGGGCAGGATCAATTTTTTGGAAGGCAGTGGAGAGGTGGGAGCGGGTTTGGGGGAGCTTCAGGCCATTCCCGTGACAAAATCTCCCCGGCAGAGTCGCGCTGCCGGAGACGGGGCCGTGTTCCCGGCGCAGGAAGGCAGGAAGGGGTTGGAGAGGCAGAACGAGGAGCCTGGGAAAAGCGCCGGTGCCGGAGGATGGCGAGCGGGGATTCCGGCGAGTTCTCCCCACCCTGTGACTCACTTCCCACCGCACTTCCCTGGCTGCCAGCGCCTGGAGCCGTGGGGCAGCCGGAGCCGTGGGGCGGCTGCGGAGCTCCAGGGATGATCCAGGGATCTGGAGCAGGGAAAGGGATGTGTGGGACTCCCCAGATCCCGGACTCTCCTCTCATCATCCACAGAAAACGGGGAGGGAAGTGGGTTCGGAATTCCCGGAGCTTGGAGCTCATCCCTTGGGGTGTGGAGGGTTCTCCATCCACGCTGGAAGCTTTTCCTGGGTGGTTCCGTGGGATCTCTCCATCCCTGAGGGGAACGGCACTGCCCGGATCGGGCTCAGATGTGCCAAGCCAAGGCCGCGTCCTCCCAAATGACGTCACCGTGAGCAAAGCGCAGATCCCAGGGCAGATCCAGTTGGAAAATCCCCACCAACAACCAGGAAACCGGGAGCCAAAAATCCGCCAGCCCTGCTTGGCCTCAGGGGCTCGGAGGTGCCTTTTCCTGCCGTTCCCAGCCACGCCGCAGCCGCTGCTCGGGGCTGAGGGATCCTCTGCGTTCCCACAAACATCCCAAAAGGCTCTGGGATGTCTCCAGAGGTGCTGCTTGTCCAGAGCTCCTCTTCCAGCAGCTCCATGGGCTCCTCCATCCCAGGCTGGGATCGCCACGGGGCATCTCGTGGCTGGGGGCGGCTCCAGGAATCCCAACAAAGCCGGCGATGGGCGCTCCCCTCCTCATCCCCCTGCCCACCCTCAGCCCAAACGGGAGCATCCTGCATCCAGCCGCGTCCCGCTCCAGCATTCCCGGCTTTTCCCGGCTGCCAGCCCTACCTTGGCCGAGTGCACGGCCGATTCCGGGGGGTACACGATGAAGTGGCGGAGGGTGAAGCCGAAGCCGCCCTGGGAGCTCTTCCGCAGCGCCACCGTCTTGGGGCCCACCCAGGGGAAGGATCCCCCCTCCGGGGGCGCGTTGGCGTTCGGGGACGCCCCATCTCTCCGGCCCGGCGTCGGCTGCAGGGACAAGGACAAGGTGTCACTTCTAGGGGCTGAGCTCTGCCCAAAATTGCCCCAATTTCCCCTCCCGCAATCCCTAATCCCAGCCCCCCACCAGAGAATTCCTGGCCTCCCCGGCTCCTCCTGTGTGGGAGCTTTGGGAAGGAGATGAATGGAAAGGAAATCAAAATAAATGAGCTGTGCCTGGGGGTCTGGATGGGACCCAGGAGGGGACATGAAGGGGACGGGACGCGGGACTTGGGGACAAAAGGTCCCTTCTGACCGTGGCACAGCAATAACCCTGGGCAAAGCCGGAAAGAGCCGCGCGGGAGGCGGTGGGACCCGCCTGAGGCTTCCCAAAACGGGGCAGGGACGTCGGGATGTGGCAGGGGACACTGCCCCGAGCAGCAGATGGGGACAAGGGGATGTGGCTGCACCCCACAGCTCCCAGAGAGGGAACGGGGCTGTGGAGAAGCCACGGGCACCTCTCCTGGCACCGGGGAGATGGAGAAACAGCCGGAGAGCTCGGGAGGGCTCGGCACAGCCCCGCTGAGGGTCGGGGCTGCTCCCCGTGGCTGCACATCTGGCTGGGCTGGGAGCAGCTCCGCGGCCGAGGGGAGCAGAGGGCACTGCCTGATGTCCTGGCACCGGCCAGCTCCGCCAAACCCGGGGGAATTGGGAATCTGGGAGCGGGAGGGACCCGCGGGGATCCCCAGGGACCCTGCCCGAGTCCTGGCTCCTTCCCCCAGCCGGGATTCAGCCCCTCCTGGGATGAGGGTGTTGAAATTCAGGGGCTGCCGAGGTGGAAGCGATGGATGGGCAGCGGGGAGGGGACAAGGGACACAAAGGGACAAGGCACAAAAAGCCTTTGTGTGTGTGCCTGTGCTGAGTGGGCCTTTTCGCTGCCGGTGGGGAGATCTGACGGCAGGGCCGGGCTGTGTCCCCCTGTCCGGCACGTCCCGCACGGAGCCCGGGGTGACCACGGGGGTCTTGTCCCCCTGCGAACGGTGTCCCTGCGCTCAGGACACACCGCACTGACCCCCTCCAAAACTTGGCTGCTCCCACAAACCACCCAGAACCCCAAAACAGCACCACGGCCGAGCCGCAAAACCCCGCTGCCAACGCCGCGCTGCCGCCGAATCCCAGCGGAAAAGCCCGACCCAGATGGCAACAGGCGCCCCCCACCCCCGGGGGACCCCCCAGCGCTCGGCCTCGGGGGCCGGCAGCATCCCGGCGGCGCCCGGCCCCATCTGCGCCCTCCATTGTGTCGGCCGCCGGCTCGCCGGATTATTTTTAAGCTGACAGCTGAATGTGCCCCGCTGATTTTAACCGGCACGGACAGGCCTCGGAGAGAGGGCTCGGATCGCTGCAGACACCAACGGCAGCAGCGGCCCGCGGGGACGGGGACGTGTCCCCGTGTCACAGCCCAGAACGTGGCTCCAGCTCAGGGACGCGTCCCCAGGTGTCAGGTTGACCATCCAGGCTGGATGCTGTGCCTCAGTTTCTCTCTCCGGCACGCGGATTTGGAGGATTTTGGGTTTCAAAGCATCCGGTTGTGGCCTCGGGGTACTCGCCCGGTGCTGGCTGAGATGCTCCGGTTTCCCCCCGCGGCGGGGTTGTCACCCAGTTTGTCACCTCAGCCGCTTGTCCCCAGAGCCCCGGCCCTCCTCCCAAATTTCTGCCTTGATTTTAACCTCGCCCTGGTGGTTCCTGCCGTGCTCCACCATCCTCATCCTCCTCACCCCAGCATTCCCAAACCCCTATCCCACGAGCGCTGCAGGGATGGGGGCAGCCCCTTGATCCTGTGCCTGTCACATCCAGACCCCCCTGCCCGGGTCACCCCAATTCCCCTGAGCTCCTCCACCCCCACCCCAGCGCAGGTGTCACCGAGTCCCTGTCCCCCGTGTCACTGTGGGGACACAGAGGGGACAGGTCCCGCTCCCACAGAACAAAGGAGCCTTGTCCCCAAGTCTTGGGGCGCGGGATTTGTCCCCGCTCCCGGACACGGCGCAGCAGGAGCAGGATCCGGGAGCTGGACCCCGATCCTCGGCCACAGGAGGGGACCAAAGGGACACACGCACCGCCCACCCTCCCTCCTGGGACCCCTCCACCCTTCCAAATCCTCCCCCCCAACCCCGGCTCTCACCCGGCGGCACCGCTCGGTTCTCAGCCCGCGGCCGGGGCGGGGGGTCGGGGGCGGGCGGGGGTCGGGGGCGGCGGCGTGGCGGCGCAGGCTGCTCAGCCAGATGCAGCGGGGCTCGGGGGAGCTGCAATCCACCCCGACCGGCCGCTCCAGGCGCCAGCCCCTCCCGGAGCGCTCCACGCTCCACAGCCTCTTGGGGCTGGGGGCCGGGGGGGGCCGGCAGGGACCCCGCCGCGACCCCCGCGCCGCCCCGCCCGTGCTCTCCTCCACCATCCCGCCGGCGTTCAGGGCTTCTCAGCCGGGGGTCGGGACCCCCATGGGGGTGGGCGGGGGGCGATGCGCGGAGCTCGCAGGCCGGCGGAGCTGCCGGTTCGGCGCTCGGTCGCTCGCTCAGCACCCCCCGAGCGGCACAACCCCCACCCAGCCACCCCCCGGATGGAGGGAGGGAGGGATGGAAAGAGGGAGGGAGGGATGGATGGAAGGATGGAGGGAGGGAGGGCGGGCAGCCACACGTCCCGGCTGCGGCTC